AATCCAAGGGCTTCTCCAACGGTTCGCCCTGGATGAGTTCGTCTATCGCATCTGTACCCGATAAACGAACTTTGTATTAGTTTTTTATTACTTTCTTTTTTTTTTTTTTTCTTGCCTTCAGGTTGAGGCGATTCAGCCATGGACGACTCGTCTTTGCTGATATGGTGATTTTCCGAAAAGGATTCACTCATTATTTCTTTTCTGTTCTGTAAATATATATATATATTTATAGGTATAAAGTATGCATAATGATAATTCAAAGTTGGATCACTGGTAGTATATATTTCGCGAAAGATATTTTTGGCCTACTGGTACACATTTGTACTTGCAGTTTTTTGCAAGGCCTAAATACCCTCCGCGAGGGGTATCCCCGCGCAAGCTGTTGCTCCCGCGAGGTTCAGATGGGTTCTGAGGATGGGGGATGCTGGTTGCTACGTATGGGTCAGTATTCGCAGTGAAGAGAATTTAGTTAGAGTGTAGTAAGTAAGGTTGTTTTTCTATCATGAATAATGCATCTGATTTCAGTCATGCGAAGACTTGTGCACAGACTAGCAAAAAAATGTTAGTTCTATCAATTTCAAGAATACAATATTTTGAAATTCTTGTTAAATGCCCCATTTAAAATTGAAAATAGTGGGTAATATTACAGAAATAATTACAAGAGCATGTTTTTCTTTCATTGTGGCCCGCAACTACCTTCTATACGTGGCTCTTGGCCATTTCTAAGTTGGGCACTAAGAAGCGCGTTAATTCCTCGCTCGAGGCAGAAAGAAAGGGTTGAACCCGTACATCTATCAGACCAGACAAACGTACGTTTACTGAACTTTGAATACAGCTGAACACCAAAGCTTACTGACAGATTTCAGTAACAGATCACAAGCGATTGCGAACGCTTTGAGCTCAGCTTGCTTGTACCCAAATTTCAGAAGCGAAATTTTCAATGGAATTGAATAATATAGAATACATTGAATAATATAGACTTATACATCAACCTATTGAAATATAAGACAATAAATGTCCCATTCACCAAAGGCGTCAAAAATCGCAAGCGTTCGATGCGATGTGTTCTTCATTCATCGGAAACCAATCATGCTTTTCAGCGAAAAGCAGAGAACACCATTGTACGCAATGGACGGCATTAGCCCAGCCATTGCGAAAGAATTTGAGGGCCAGGAAAGTTGAGCCCATTTCGAAAAGCAAATGCCCAACAAAAAATTAGAGCAAGTAATTAAATAAATAAATAAAAATGAAAGCAATTAAAATAATGAACGTCAACTGACTAAAACTTCAATTAAATTCGGTGAATTTTAATTATGCATTGCTACTTGTCGGGGTGGTCCAGGAAATTTTGGATATCTTTTCAAACAAAAATTATTCGAAAACTAAAACAGACAGAAAATGATGCATCCACGTGTACATCAATTACCCAAAATAATTCATCACACGTTTATACCTTTTTCACGGTTGTGACACCCATTAAAAAAACTGTTTTGGGAAAAAGTTGCAGATATAACTGCACAGTATGTATGAAAAAATAAAACGTCATATAGCATCTGAATGACTATGAATTGGTGTTGCACGCATAGTTATGATCCGGGTTGCCAAAACCACGGCGCGTCAGATCCCGCGTTGGCGATACTGCACATGCCGTGCTTTTTTCTCGCACAGAAAGGGAATCCACGAACGCATACAGAGCAGGCGACAATAAATCGTCAAAAATTCGAGCGAAGTCGCAAAACAACATTCTTCAGACGCTGTACGAGACAACAACGCTCTAAACGTCGGGCAGAAGAATAAGTGATACATCACAGGACCGATGAGTCGAACGGGCCCATGCGACACTCCGGAACAAGTGATCGGACAGCGGCGCGTAATCGTATTCCTAGCTGATCAGCGATCCATCCACCAGCGATTTTCCCTGGAGCAGCATTGTAGAATAAATTTTCACAGGATTTCGAGCAGTTCGCAGACGATGTAAGTCCGCAGGCACGGAATTACATTAGGCCCTTTCCCTCAGTCCACCCGTATTTACACGCACAGAATATAAAATTGCTTTAAAACGCATCTTGATTATTTAGGTCCTTGGATTGAAAAAATGCTGGAGAATCAAAGACGCACTTCGGAATAACGTATGACCGGAAACTCCATTCGACAGGGTGGAGCAAGAGGCGCACCAATTTCTGATTGAAAGACTGACTCTCGAACTGAAAGAGTATTACAAAACATGAAGATGAATATACTGTAACGTATAACTTAGGATCTCAGAAAACTTTCTGAGATCCTCTGTCACATTGTCACAGCAGCTCTGTCACATGGATTCTCAGCGTTCTGCATTGATTTAATAATATGTTTTAAGCACATCCGAAGCGGCAGAAATATCGTACGTCGAAAGGGTCAATCAGAGAGTTTTCATCACTTAATCGGGGAAATATTTTTAAAATAACGCGGAAACAACCGTTTAGCATTCGAATCGAAGACGCGCCTCGATTTTCTGTGAGCCCAACTCGAAAAAAGCATTTAGTGATGCTTCATACAATAAAACTGACGTTTCGTACAACGAAGATTCTCGCTGTAACTGAAAATGACTCGTACAAGGTACAAAGAAACCGTATCCCATTTAATGGATCCTAATTTCTCAACAATGTACTGTACCTCCATTTACTTCGAGGCCACCATTGCTTTTTGTGCGACTTTCTCCCCCATCATTTTGAGAATTTCTTATTTGCGATGCTAATGATATCGTGTAGTGTACCGTAGTCTATCAGGGAATTGTGCGCGGTTGACACAGAAAATACGGCGGCCGGGAACTTGGTTCGTTGATCGATTCGAAACGCTTAGATTGCAGGTATGATATTGAGTTCTTTTTCAATTCGAATAATTTTATTGAAAGATAAGGAATGAAGTTGTCCCCATGTATTTGCAGCAGAAGAAGTATTCCATCAAGAAAATCTAGAACGACGAAAAACGCATTGGAAATACTGTAACGACGTTCGTTGCGTGAGGCGTCACTGAGCGCGTCGATTGATTTTGAGACGCGCCCTACTTTTTCAGACCTTCAAACTGAAAAAATGGCTTGCGAAAGAAACACGCCCTTTGCAACACGTGGATGGTATACTTGTATGAAAATTCCAGTTGATACGGTGTCTCCCGAAATAATTGTCGAAAATCGTCAATCGTTGGTTTTAATCATCGTAACTTCACCTGTCGAAAGTCAATTTTAGTAATACGATCAAGAACTCGGAAATGACTTGTTCAACGAAGTGTTTGAAATATAATTCGATCCGACAGCTCATGATAAACACTACTGACTGAAGAACGCGAGAAGAAAGCAGAACAGAAAGACTTCGGTCGATACTGAACATCGAAGTCTGAAGCTCGCTGCGTTCTTTGAGAAAAATGTACCACTACTGGTTGTTGAATTTATTTTTAAAAACGTGCATGACAGCAAATCGTTGGTAAGGTATCCGTCGTGAACTTCGGAGAACCCGAGCTGGGGGAGTTCTATTTTTACACAGCAACCCTTGGAGTGCAACCGCAGCACTTGCACGCCTCGAACTGACGCTACAAATATCCGGATATGGATAGCGCCCGAGACAGGGTCGCCCACACGGCACTCGATTTTATCCCATGTACCTGATCAAAATACAGCCTGTTATAATCGAGTGATCTCATCAATCAAATCAATAATAGAAATATTATCAATCAATAAAATTCCACAAAAAAATAAGGGAAAAACACCTCGATTCTGTCGCGAACCTGAAACTACGCCCCAAGTAGACGCATCGAAATCTGTGGATCCAAAAAACTAAGAATGTAATACGTGTAGCAACAAAATGCGTTTCTTCCCGCGGTAAATTCTGGTTGATCTTATCAGTTAACGACAAAAATATTCCACGAGCTTGAAATACATCTTCTGGCCCAGAAAAAACCCCCACCTCTCATCAATCAGCTGGAAATATGTAGCCAGTTGATTGCTGGTCAGTGGAAACCTAAGGTTGTAACTATCAAACAAGGGTTTACCGTTAGCGGAAAGCAAGTCGGAATTGTGAATGACCGGTTTTCGTGAGGTTCCGGCCCAGTGATCTTGGACATACGAATCATTCACGAGGGCTCACAAAAACGAGAGGAGATTACATGAATTCAAATCTCCGATTATAGTACTCCGAAGTCTTGGGGTCACATCTACGCAGTCCTTCATTATGCGCGTTTACCCAAAACTAAGCTGCACATTTCCACGTCATTCTTGACTCATTAAATAAATGCGTGCTTTAAAACCATAGCACCTCAACATGCAACATGTTTGATCAAGAGGAGGTCTCATTAAAAGGATCAGCATCTCATCTCATACCTCATCTCATTTAGAATACAATCATAAATAAATTAAAACGACGTTCCAAGACTGGTTGATCTCAAGACATAAACTGGTCCGTTTTCCTGTTTTCTTACGTGACACTGTACTCAGTACGTAGGGTTAATGTAAATGGAAAGAAAACTGAATTTTATCCATTTGAAATTTGATTTTTCTATAGTTATACGCAATACATTAGCTTATATAAACAATAGTATCTTGGCAACAACATAAACAACAATATCTTGGCATCGTTGGCAGCTGAGGTTTTCGAGGAAGATTCCAGGTTACGGATTTCTCCAAAATATCAGTCAATTCAACTGATCACCACTCATCAAAACATGAAACCTTATTCCACCATTCGGGATTCTCTCGACAAATGATTATAACTAAATAACAGAAAAGGTCAATGCTAAATAAAAATGTGGTCAAGCATCTGTCAAAAACTTTTCCGAGTAATTTTTTGTTTTTGGTACGATAGCCAGAGTATTGCTTGCGAAGTTCATTCCACTCGAAAGAAACGCTGAATGGACTTTCTGCGTTTTCAGTTAATTCAATGACTTCCGAGTTATTATCATGCAAAAGTTGATGCATTTTTGGGTGCAAAGCGAACAGTAGTTTCCGTAATTTACAGTACTGTACTGGGTTCTGAAAGGAGAGCGACATGACACGAGAAAACGTTTACCAATTCGAGTGGTCGAAATGTTAAGGTGTGTCATAGAATCGCTGATATCGTATATTCTTTTAAATATAGGTAAACAGGTCAGCGGAGTTTTCATCGAAGAATGTAAGATCGTCCGCTCACGCAAATTCCTTCGTTGCCGAATCAATTCGTGGGTAGAGATTACTTTAGACTGAGAAAATTTATATTCCCTGCTCCTCGTGGCTACAGGGCCTTCTATCTCTGGACATCGCCGCCATCGATGCTGCAATACCTACACTGAATGGAACCGGTTTATCGTGGAAATTCCATGGGCATTCGGACAGCAACTGTGCGACGACGACACGGGGCCTACGCTTAATGAAACGCGTGGCGAAACAGCGCTTCCACGCAACTCAACGCGTCCGCGCTTTGAAAAAGACGCATTGAATCTCGAAACCCTTGCTGAGCCGCATGATCAAGGAGAAAACCAGACAAAACGCAACAGCCTTGAGGACTGAAAATGCAGCACATTCAAGCAGAAATTGTATTCGTCACGCTGTCATGAAAACAGCCCTTGATCAATAGGATTGCGAAAAACTTGCAGAATTTTAATTAGCAAATTTACGGGCGTGCCCGAAAAACCGTAAAATCGTTTCATGGACAAAATTACTCACCGAATCTTCAGAGAGCGTCTCATTAATCAGCGATTATGTAATTTTGTCAAGCTTTGACGGGGTTTCTCTCCCGTTATACTCGTAACTAATCCGCAGCAGGTTTTCAAGCTACGACAGGCAGATTCTTTTCCTTTGGAGAAACTGTTGGCAGCTTGTAAGCTGAACGAAGTTGACAGCAACGTGCAGGCTTGATATTTCAGCTTTAGGTACTAGGAAATTTATTTCATCCTTGAAATTCGTGAAAAGGCAAATCTGAGAGAAATCCTTGACTGTTTCAGCATGGCAAGGATAGATCACACCAGAAATGTGGACAACATGTTGGGGGAAAATTGGTCCCAATAATCGAGTGAATGATTCAGTGGACTCTGTATATCTTCAACTGCAGTGACAAATTTTTGAAATTTCCAGCAAGGGTACCCCGGATGCGTTTTAACATCAATTCATAAAATCATCAATGATTTTGAGAAATCTCAGAACCAAGAGAATTTTACAATGGGCAAGGTGAACGCAGAAAAGTGACTAAATCGTAAATTTTACGCGAGGATCTTCACAGCATTCTACGTCGTCCAGGAATCAAAGTTCAAGAGCACAGAAGAGGCTCGTGCCGACTCCAACGCCCACGTGAACTAAGAACATTCCAAGAGGGAAATGCCTCCTTCATTCGTCCGTCTTCTGACGAAAGGGCCATTCACTTACTGACCATTCTGGGTAAAAAATATCCCTCATGAAGCTATGACTAAAAAGTTTGAAGTCAACGTGAAGTTTTTTGCTTCAACTGTGCGCCGCGGGTACCCGAAGGCTTCGAGGCTGATGGATGAAAAAAGTGGAATGACGTTCACTACCAAGAAGTGAGGCCCACAATGAGAATACAATACTGTACATGGACTATGGTAATACAGTACGAGGGTTAGTTCAAAGGTTCCGAGACTCCTAAACTCTCTATTTTCTGTCAATAGAGATAGCCAAAATAAGTTTTACTTCTTTATATTCCTACAGCAGTATTCATCTATTCTTCTAGAATCTAGAATATAAGACACTGTAATATGTTCGGGAAAACAGAGTGAAACAGATCTTGAAATGTCTCTCAGAACAGAAGGTACTGCGAGAGCGTGTCTTCATATGCTTTGAATTTCTCATACGAAGAAAAAAAATAATTGACTTCGTAGAAATTACATTGAAAAGTGCTGACGTGTACAGAAATGACGACATGATATGATAGAAAGCCTTTTAAAAACGGAACTGCATCTTGGTTTGTTCTACTCACTCATTAAAGTCAATCGCAAAAGTAATGAACCATCCCTCGTGCTCAGTATCTCAAAGTACACTCAAAGATCAGAAGTTTCAATTGTCCAGGAACCGAAAAGGAATTCGCTATGCCAAAGAAGCTACGTCACAGAAACGCATCGTAAAATGGGACTCATTCAGTCAGAAAAGGTGAGAAACTCCCGCTTGAAAAAGCGAGAAAGTAGAGTGAAAATCGATTCACTGAAGTGCGAAAACCGGAGCAGACGCTTTTCTCGCGCTTCAATAACATTTCCACTCCTTCCATCGTCGCAAGCGACACATGCACCGTCTCGCGTGTCGATTCCCAGTCCCCTTCTCACACCTACCCCACATACCTGCCACACCTCAACACGATGGATCAGCCGGAACGAAAGCAAAGCTTAGATGCGACAGTTCCTCTCCGGGACGCATTACGGCGCAGCCAATGAAAACAAGGGGGAGGACTACGCGCGGAAAACACATGGTTGTCGCTGACACCGACGCCATTCGTTTCGACACGTTGACACTTGAAAGGCGCAACAGATAAGACGGGGAAGGTGCATCGCACGTAATCGGAACAGAGACTTCCGATGGTGAATTTGAGGCAGTCGGGATAACAAGCCGCAAAAAACGGCCGACAGACTAATTGACGCGGAAGTCCTCACGCGAAAAGAGCATCAACAGAAGAGCACGATTTCGTCACGATTTCTTTTTTTTTAATTCGTACTAATTTCCGCAAAAAAGTAGAAAAAGGACATTCGAACAAAGAAACGGCAATCATGGGATGCAGATGTGCAACACGGCCGAGCACGTCAGGGCTATAATTTCAGCAGATTTTTGAATTACCTGTACTTTCGACGAAAACATTTAATTTAGAAGGGCATACTAATTGACCATAAATGCTTCGCCGTTACATGCTTCATGATGCATGCACAGGACGCAATCGCGTGATGTTTCATTTTAACGAAAAACACATTTTTTGAATGCTTCAAACTTCGCGTGAGAAGGTTACACTGTTCAGAACGAAGTAAACCTACGACGGCCGATTCTACCCATATGATGCAAAAATAAGGCCTTGTGAAACATGATTTAGCCAGAATAGTTCATCTTCTCGACACCCAGCTTTCCCCCCGAATACCCGATGGTCTGAATTGGAAATGAACGAGGAAATAGACGTGGAAATTAATTTATAATGATAATTCTTTTTTTACGTTCAACTTGGTAAGCGTCCAAAAGCAATCGGGAAAACGAAGACGCTTGATGAAAAACTCAGAATCGTCTGAAAGACAACTCACAATCGCGCATCATATTATATCTTAGTTTATTTTGATAATGAAGCACAGGATGATCATTTTCGCATTTGTGCACCAGCAGAATTGTCCTCCGATTTTTTTTCCACAGTTCTTCAATTAATTAATTCAAGAACCAAACTGGCTCAGAATTATAAAATAGAATTCCGTGATAACAACATTCTTGAACATTTCAAGTGTTCTGATGGCCGCGGAATAGTACGTCCTGAGCGGACAAACTATCCCGCGGTCATTTCTGGCGTGAATGTACTGTCTGGTCATCGAAAAGTTGAATTAAGCAAAACAATCAACCCAATAACCATCACGAAGTTGACTTCAGCTCAAAAAACGACACACGAATTTGGTTTTAAGTCGCGAAAACCCATCGAAACAGAAATGCATTCTATGTACTTTTCAAGAACAGGCGACGAACGTTTGATTGACAGTCACTATATTTCACTATATTTCGTATTTTCTTTTATTGCGAAATCTCAAACTCAATTATTTGTCGCCAGTTTCGAATTGACGCTATGTTTAGCTGACACCGAAAGAGTTTTTCCTCCATACAAAATGGATGTTCAGTCGGGCGGATATTTTAGAAACGATGTGCATATTTTTTTACCCTGACGCAAAAACCCATGATGAAGGAAAAACTATACAAGCTCTTATCTAAAACAATCGCACTCATGCAAACATTGAATACATTTCACTGCTTCAATAAAATATCACAGGAGCTTTTGAATCTGGGACAAGCACTGTTGAACGTGACGATGGCTCATTAATCTCAATCGGTGGGTTAGAACTTGACCTGATTACCCAAAAAATGGGTCTCTTGCAGCCTTGTGATGGAGGCAGAGAGGAATTCCGGGCTAGGGAAAGAATAATTCTTAGGGTTGGTAACCCTTAGAAGAAGTCGACGTACTGTACCAAACAGTAGAATAAACTTTTGGATGCATTTTCGCTAGGTATCACGGCTTAATCCAACATCCCATCAAGAACTTATCTTCAAAATAAAATTGCGGACCTTACCTTCGTGGGTGTGGACGGTTTCGACATGAGAAGTAAAAGATCACGCACATTTAATGGTATAAAAAAGAAGCTTTACGAACTCACCTTTGCATCCGCCTCCGAAGCCATTCTGCGACCGATCCAAGGACGACACATGATATGCGATCCCTGGGTCCCTAGAGTAATACTCCATGGTCCAACCCGTTGCGCATCCCTCGCCACCGCTCGGGAGTCGCCGGCGAAAACGCGCACAAGATCGACGCGCACACTATTCACGACAGGCTTGGCACCGACTGAGGGAAAAGATACAAAGGTTAGCCACGCGTTTCGGTTTCGATGACGGGCAATTTTCCGCTTGGAACTCCACGCCGACGCGATGGTGCACTTCACGACACTTCGCGACGACTCGACAGTTGCTCAAGTGGGGGAAAATACAGGGTTTTTCTCCAAAGCGAAATGTTCCAATCCCGAACACAAATGAGAGGTGAAATTAAAATCGCAGTGAACAAATTTCATGCATCCAAGCCCATCTTCCCAGCGTAATTCCAAGTCCGTAAAACTTCGATTATCCGAATTGATTTCCTATTGTCTTCGTTTGAATAATCGAATACGCTAGGTCTAATGGAGAATATAAAAAAGAATAAAAACTCGAAGGTAGGAAAAACTATCAACGGTGCTATGACACGTTATTACCGTATTACAATTCATTGGAAGTTCAAAGATCAGCACATTTTACAGTTGCCCTCATAATCTCCTTTGCAAGTCCGCTGCAATCCCATATTTTCTTTTTACGACATAATAAAATGCAGATACAGTATAAAAGAGGACGTGGAAATGTTTTTGGGATAATTTTAAAAATAACGACGAAGATGTCGGAATGGAATCATGGGGAGAACTGCAGTTTCTTTAACAAATATAAAACCTAGACACAGATAATGGTAAAATATTCGAATTTGCAGTGTTGTACGAAAATCCTCGCGTCATTCGTACTCGTATTGATAGCAGGTGACGGTGATATAAAATGCAGCTTGAAGAGACATCGGCTGATAACGCACTTTAAAAAAGCTTCCATTATGAAGTAGGCATGGAGACGTACAGCTACGAAGTCAGTTAATCACATGCGAAAGAATTCGATAAACAAACACTGCACCGATGACATGAATCAACAGCATTCAAGGGTGATGTTGATCGATGTTTGGGTGCCACTTGATCGATGAACTTGGACTCAACATACCACTCCTTTCCCGAGTTCTAAAAAATTACTGGCTGCTTGGTTTTTGTCCTAAAATGGCCGAATGATCACTAGAATTGTACACTTTTTTCAAACATGACGACGTTTGCATGCCACCGTCGCAGTCCAGTACTGTTTACTTCGACTCACAGTAACGGACAAGAAACGTTATAAATGTTTCCAAATTTCCGCAGAACACATACGAGTTATTCAATCTGACGGACAACTTCCCAGGAACACATTTTAATTATCTTCTCCGATTCTTCGTCACGATGATGTGATTTAATTTCAAACCATTCATTTAGCGTACCACTTCTCGAGAAGCGTAGCTCTCTCTACGCCAGGAAAAAACATAAATTACATAAATCAAAATTTCCCGGAACCAACGCACGCGCACCGCAGGTTGAAAAGATTTGCTGTTGCATCTCGACAAGTGTTGACATCATAGCAGCAGTAATTCGAACACTAATTTTCCCACCTGAAATCAAAAATGTCCCAAATAATTAAGAAAAAACAAATCTGAAGCCACTCTTCATGCCTTTCCTTTCCATCACAAGTTCGTCGAGGTACTGATAGCGCAATGCTTTCGGAATTGAAAGTTTGCTTTGAATTCGAAGACTTCAAATTGAGTTTAATTTAGTTCCGATCCTCAACTTCAGCGGTAGCGATAAAACCCATCAATATTTCACTGGAAGAAAGAGCACAGGACCGAAGAACTGAAGCACCATAATCACAAGTACTGCGGAAGTTAAGACTTGGATCAATTGTCCAACAGACTCCTGCGTCTTCCAAATGTGGCACATGCATGGACCTTTCAAGAACCAGCCCAACCCAGTTTTCATTTACAGCGCCACAAACTTGTAAAGGAATATTTTTTGATTTTCAGACAACACCTGGCTTGAAAAGGGAATACTTAGACTTTCTCATGCAACTTGACTTAAAACCTGGGACCCATAAACGCCGGTTTCGTTCACCATTTCTCTTTAATCAAGTGACAATCCAGCTCCTAGATAATGGCTGCATTTTTCAAAAGACACAGAAATGCCATTACTTTCCGCCGTTCTCATAATCTTGCCCTCCGGCCGAAACGTGGACGAAGAAAATCCAGAACGATTTCAGGACTAAGAAGAGGGTTTCGTTTTCACGATTTCAAGCACCGATGTAACATGAGATTATAGTCGTTGTTAAAATATAGAATGCATAGATCACAGCTGTTGAGTCGTATATGGTGAATTTTCCAAAAAGTTCCGAACTTCTGTAATATAATAGGGTGAAGCGTCCTGATGGTTTATTTCAAGACTTTCAACAATAGCAATCAGTCGGGAACTTTAAAATCTTTTTTTTTTGTGCGCAAAAATACGCAACCGTTTGGTCAGCACGAGATTACATTCATTTCATGGACGGAAAATGAAGCAGCGTACATGAAAAAAAGGAAGTTCACTCGAAACTCCGAAATGAGAATAGGATAAAACGCTTCTTCCGGTCATTCCGACGCAAAAAAGATACCCAGCCGCAATTTTCCCTCACGAAAGGGCGTGACTTTCAAAACGCAACTGCGAATTTCGTCACTCGGTCACCCTGCATCGAGGGAACGTTCAGCTCCACAGCACGGGAATAGCTTTCTTGCTCCGCTCGCACGAGAAGCGAACAGTTTTCCCGGGTTCACTTTCGTGTCAACGGTTGCGTAGGCTTTCACGGCCGACCTCGTGATCATGAAATTGTTTCCACAAGGCAGACCGTTCCTTTAATTAACGATCTACAGGAACGTTAATTAAAGTTGGATGCACAGGTTGAAATGCAGTGAAAAACTCGCGCACCCCTAATGATGGAAATAAATTCGCCGGAATTATCTCGTACAGTAATAATCGGAAACTCTCTCATGCAGAAACACTCAACTGACTCAAACAAAAATTCGTCCACGCATGCGTCGACATGCACGAAACTTACGTAAATCTTCGAACCAAAATCCTCCTTACCATGCATGATAGAAAGTAGCGATTGAATCTTGAAAGCAGAAGGACGATACATATGTACATTTGACTGATTTGAGGACATCCAAAAACTTAACACAAAAATTTTGAATTTGGTTCAAATTTGAAAAGCATGCAGTACGAAAGATCAAGACGTCTGACGAGTCAGTCAAATCATTTTCACGTGTGGGAGAATACCGCAGCTCGACTCGACCATCGGCGACAAAATGGCAACCATATCAAAATTATCAATCATAACGGAAAGGCAATTTTAACTTTTCATCTGATTTTAGAATACACAGCCATTCAGAGCACTCCCAAAATTGGATCGGTGGGTCTAACCTTGGGGCATGAAGAAAAGTCAAGTACAGTACCCTCAAACCGCATTTCTGATTCAATAGTTCGCTGTTGGATTTTGGACAGTTGGAGAAAAAACGCTGTAAGCATCGGGAAGTTCGGAAATCACGGAATGTCATCGTAATTTAAGCGGTACTACCGCTACATCGGTTCGCTCACAAATTCATAAGGATTTAAAAAAAAAACCCTGAACATCAGAAAATCGCCTGATCAAAAATCTGTTCGTGTAGCTGAAGCAGCAGTGAACTTCTAATGAAATGCAGTCAGCCTACGGCATGCGATCTGGAATGCGGGTCTGAGGTTCAACCTAAAAATCACATTCCAGGACAGAGTTCAAGAGTAGCTGCGGCACCGTCATGATTGCGCTATGAGTGCGCAAACATTCACCCTAATCGGCCAACGGATTCCGTGGAATACACAGTCGACAAAAGGGAGTCTTCTTCAGCCGACGCCCAGTTTTTTTTTCCTTCGCGTGAATCGATTATTCATTGCTCACCGGATATATATTATTACCGCAAAATCAAGATGAAAATACGAAACTCCACAGTGAATTACTGCACTTTCCACGGAGGCCAAATAACGCGGAAGAAACTTGTTTACGCGTCGGGGACAGAGAGAATGCTTCAGGGAGCCTCATCGAAGGAACGCTAAATGAACTTTGCCTGGATCGCCATGAATGGTGACATTTAATACATACGAACACCACACCAAGGGCATCCAGTTGTTTTGCAATGTTGACGGAACATAAAGAATCCTGACACGCATGTGTGAAGTGATGAAGCATGCTGATTTCATGGCTGACCAACGATTTGAATGATCATTTGCAAAAATAGGTCGCGGATCGAAATTTTATGTTTTTTGAAAGTTAATACTGTACCAGCATCTGTACAGTACAAGTAACGAAAATTACTGTATAACTAACACGATGTTAGCCGGGTACTTACGCCAGATGAATGGACATTACTTTGAACAATGCAATTTATCATTTAATCGCCTGACAAAATATATGATTCCGCAAAATCTTGAAGTTCCTCAGCACGGATATTTTATGGATAATAAAGAAATAATGCGAAAATTAGAAGGTACAGTAAAAAGGTTTCCCCTCAATAATTTTTAACTTGGCGCGGTTAATCCAAGTCCAGTAATTGCGGTAAAATGCAAGAGGTTTGAATCCATGACACAGTGGAGAGTATCAAATACAGTATCATCAATATTCTGAAAGGACATAATTTTTATAAATCACACAGCTCGAGCAGAATTCAACCGAACGCCTCCACAAATGCCGAATAGCTTCGTTAAACGTATTTCGCATTTTCATGGACAATTCGGAGGTAATCCGTCGTTGAATAAAAGGCTCTTCAACCAACGAGGACTTCCGGAAGTAAAGGGGGGACAAAGGCGAAGTACCACAAACATCACTGTCGTTGATTAGTGACACAAAAATTACGAGTTGAATCGTCAAGTAAGCAACGCAGCGGGGAAGTACGAACAGAATTTGATTATACAGTACTGAATTGTGAAACCAACGCGGGAAACGCGTGCGCAAAAAAAAAGAAGATGCCAGGAATTCCGCGACGGCACGTCATTAACCGAGTACCCGTGCTCAATTTTGTTTTTTTTCTTTTCTTCCGAGAATCTCGCGATCATTACGAGCCCGCAATTAAAATCGAACTTACACAAAGTACTAAAACATTTTTTGTCCACGGATTGCGCTCGCCGGAGATTGTACTCCAGGTG